GGATTCTTTGAGGTATAGTGAATTTCATTGTCACTTTTGGTTAACGTGATTCCGTCTCTCTCTTTTCATAACTTTAAACTGTGAAAGAGTTCTTATGTAGTGTTTTCAAGACTATTAACTTTGCATTTTAATTTTTAAAAATGTTTTGTTAAATATCAAAGTTTGATATGAAGAGTGTGAAACAGATTGACAAAGCCAAGCATGAGGCAGGTGGTGATTTTGATTTTATCCTTCCCTTTGCATTCTGGCTCCCCTAACTGCCCTTAAGACACTGTAAAGAGGGCACTTGTGTGTTACCGCCACTGTGTATTTCCCAGTCTCCTACAGCATCTAACTTGGGCCATTTTCCTTGGCAAAAAACTAAAAGTGCAGAATGCTAATCATGTTGCACATCACTGATTTTTAAGTATTTAAAATAATTTGGGTGTCTACTCGTAATTGAGATTGTTGTCACTTTTACGAAAACTTTTCCAAGTAAACTTCTCAGAAGAGAGATGCAATATTTGTATAATTTCATAATATTAAATATTAGTCTACCATTATTTGTGTGTGCTGTGCTATGATTATTCATCCAAGGGCCTGTCATGGGGACGTAGGGACTGCTTCTGAAAGTGCCAAATTACCATTTGTTTGTGAGACTATAATTGATACCGCATGTTAAATTCAAGTGTCATTAGGTTTCTAAAAAGATGAAGTGATGATAAGCTTGCTCCTAAATTGTTTGCAAAGGTTAAATATCTGTGAGAAAAGCTGGTATTTAAGATTCTTACATTTAGTCAGATAGCAGAATGTTTTAAGGCACTGTATATCAATCAGCGTATATGTAGAGTTACTGTGTTTTTAATTTTTTCTTTTTTGTCCAAGGGTAGTGGTTAAGAGTTCAGGTTTCGGGTTGAACTCTGACTCCGCCACTTACTAATTGTGTAACCTACAGTTAAGTCACTGAATGTCTCTAAGCTGCCATTTTTTTCTTTTTAAAATGAGGATAATAATATTCCTCAGCATTGTGGTAAGGATCAGTTGAGCTTTTTGTGTAAAGCGTTTCACACAGACCAAAGTACTTCATGCGTTATGATGGTGGCTGTTATTACTGTGGGTATTTTAATTTTTTTTTTTTTTGAGACAGAGTCTCGCTCTGTCACCCAGGCTGGAGTGCAGTGGCATGGTCTCAGCTCACTGCAACCTCCGCCTCCCAGATTCAAGTAATTGTCCCTTCCTCAGTCTACCGAGTAGTTGGGATTACAGGCGCCTGCCACCACGCCTGGGTAATTTTCGTATTTTTAGTAGAGACGGGGTTTCCCCATGTTGGCCAGGCTGGTCTTAAACTCCTGACCACAGGTGATCTGTCTGCCTCGGCCTCCCAAAGTGCTGATTACAGGCTTGAGTCACCGTGCCTGGCCGGTATTTTCATTTTTAACAAACAAATTGTTACTTGCATTTTTATCAGGAGATTATTGCATAAATGTTTAAATAGTGGCAATTACATTGTCTAATGTTTTTAGGGCAAATGTATTTCTGCTACTGTATCTTTTTTTTGCAATAATATTGCACTTGAAAATTTCCATACTTCCCAGAGGATATATCATCTCTCATATTTTTGTTTCTATGGCAAAATGTGTTAAAAGTTCCAAACAACCAACATAGAAAAGAACTCTTGGGAAATAACTGTCTTGTAAGTGAGGGATGCTCTGTAGAGTTAATTGTCCTTGAGCAATCAAATCATTAGTCCTTTTATCATTCATCATTGAGGGAGGCTTTTGAGCTACCTCTTCTAGACAATCTTAATCACCTCTTGACCAGTCTCCAACTCAGTTTCCTATGTACCCTAACCTTCTAAATTGCAGTGACTTCCCTAAGCCACTGATATTTGGACCAATTTTTTTTTTCAGATCAATTTCTGTCAGTTGATTTCCAAAAAGCCTCTTGACTACCCCCTATGAACATTAGTGAGCTAAATTGTAAGTTATTTCCAGCAACACATTTTTGTGTTGCCTTTTTTAAAGATATTTTTGTAATTTTCTATTTATAATTGTTTAAGGTACATGAGCATAGAGAGCTCTGTTCAATGATTTGATAAGCCCTTTATTTGTTTTAATAACTGTTCATATTTAGCATTTGATATTATTGGGTAAATGCATTTACTAAAAGACAGTACCTTTTGTGGAATACAAAATGGTTAGTGTATACAAGTGACGTTGTATTTCCTTCTGAACCCTTTTGTTTAAGCCTCAGCATGCTCAAGCGGTTTATCTCAATTCAGTGATAACAGCTGTTGCTATGACTGCATGTTATTTCATTTGTTGAACTGATGCTTGATGAGAAAAATGTCATTGTATTGTTTGTAATTTTGAATTTAAATAGAAGTGGGTTTTTTTTTCCTTATGGAGGTAAAATTAGGAAATTGGGGTTATAAATCCTGTGCCCTGTATTCCTAAATCAGGGTTGTGCAATGCTTGTGTACACTGCACGGGGTTCATGGGCTTTGGAACTGTTACCCCATCAGCAACTGGAAGCATTGGCTCTGCCCCCAGTGACAGGGATGGGAAGATGGATTAACTCAAATAATGAAATGTCACATCAGCCTCTCTAAAAAATGAGAATTCCTCCTTTAAGATCACTGATAGACGGTGACTGAAGCATTGGCTTTTCATTATGGTTTTTAATGTGGGCTCATATTTTGTGTTATATGGATTCTTATAAACCACAACATACAGGTGTGTCTTAAAAACAAGTTGATCCAAAAAAGTGAGAAATATCTTTTGAAGTGTAGTTTCTCCCCGTAGCAAAAGTTGGAAGATGCCATCAATGAAGAGGATGGCCATGGGGGTCCGGGGAAGACAATGTTGTATAATGGCTGTGAATACAGATGCTGCAGTTAAACTGACTTTGTCACCTACTCCTTATGCGACCTTGGACATCTCTTTGGACTTGGATTTTCTTGGCCATAAAATGGGAATGTCAACAGTACTTATCTCATGGGGTTGTAGAAGTTCATTGAATTAATTTATTAAAACAGAACCCAATATAATATGACTATTAGCTATTTTATAGGAATCTTTTTAATTTTGCAGTAGTGGAGTCTAAAAGGCACAGAACTATTATTTTTGAAAGACAAGATAGAAGCAGTTTTATTTATGTTGTAAGGCACAAGAGCATCTTGGCATGGCCTTAATATTTGGTCTCATAAAGCAAATGAGTAAGGTAATTGGAACTGAGCACATTCAGCCCACTCGTCATGGGAAGAGCACCAGGTTTCTGTTCTCTGAGAAAACTTGCTAAATTCTGTAAGAGTGCTTTGTAAAAAATACAGTATTTTAAGAGCTTTGAGGTCAAAAACTACATCCAGAATGGATTAGTACCCCAAACTTTATACATGTACTCCACGCTATGCTTTGTCCTTTGTCAAAACGTATTGAACTCTGCATTAATGGATGTATCAGTCAGGGTTCTCCAGAAAGACAGAACCAACAGGATACATGGAAGAATACATTTACTGGGGGAATTGGCTCCCACCATCACAGAGGTAGAGGAGCCCCATGATAGCTGACTGCGAGCTGGAACATGGGAGAAGCTTTCTTGGTCTGGAAGCCTCAGAACCAGGGACGCTAATGGTGCAACTCCCAGTCCGAGTCCAAAAGCCCAAGAGCCCCCTAGAGGTCACTGGTGCAAGTCTCAGAGTCCAAAACCCGGAGTCTGATGTCCAAAGGCAGGAGGAGAACAAGCATCCCGCTCCGGAAGGGAGAATGAGGGCAGAGAGAGAGAGAGTCCCCTCTTCTTTCACCTGTTTGTCCCAGCAGAGACCCAGCTGATTGGATTGGATGGGGCCCACCCACATTGAGAGCCCGTTTTCCTCTCCCAGTCTGCCGACTCCCATGCCAGTTTCTTCTGGAAACACCCTCACAGGGACACCCAAAAACAATGCTTCGCCTGCCGTCTAGATATCCCACAATCCAGTCAAGTTGACACTTAAAATTAACCATCACAGTGGGTAAAGTTTATTGCATGTACATTTACCTCAGTAAAGCTGTGGGTTTTTTTTAAGAGCTAAATTCGTGGTGGTGAGAATGTAATAGGCATTCACTAAGTATTTTTGACTAAATTAATAGTTAAATTAGTCATGAATGGAATTATTTCATTCTGCAGTGATGGATCACATCAGGAAATCAAGATGCACAAGGGGTTGAATTTTATGTCCTTGATTTTGAAACTTTACGTCAACTTCTAAAAGTCCAACTTTAATAGTAAATCCCAGTTCCTGGCACATGCTTTGAAGGCCCACTGTCCCTCAGTTTACCGGTTTTTCATATTTACCCTGAGAATGAAGTCAGTGACTGGACTTGGTCCTGTGTCTGTGACTCATATATTTCTCTTGAGCATGGCCTTGTGTTCTCATTTATATTATCAGACATGCAATTTAGACATTAAAATAGACATTTTGATATAGTGACAGAGGATGTGTTTAAGATTTGAGAAATTTACCAAAAAATGAAATCCCTGGCCGGGCGCGGTGGCTCAAGCCTGTAATCCCAGCACTTTGGGAGGCCGAGACGGGCGGATCACGAGGTCAGGAGATCGAGACCATCCTGGCTAACACGGTGAAACCCCGTCTCTACTAAAAAAAATACAAAAAACTAGCCGGGCGAGGTGGCGGGCGCCTGTAGTCCCAGCTACTCGGGAGGCTGAGGCAGGAGAATGGCGTAAACCCGGGAGGCGGAGCTTGCAGTGAACTGAGATCCGGCCACTGCACTCCAGCCTGGGCTACAGGGCGAGACTCCGTCTCAAAAAAAAAAAAAAAAAAAAATGAAATCCCTTTTGTTGTTTCCAGAAACATCAGACTCTGGGCCTCTATTGACAAACCGTATCCACTTGTAAGTTGAATGTAACAATAGGTTGTGTACTTGAGCCAGCATGGACTTTTCTCATTGACTGTTAGCATGAGGAGCTTGTCTGGCATCCTTGTAAAATATTTGATCCTGATGTCTTACTGTCTTTTCTCCCAGGTATGGCAGCAGCCAAACTTCTGCATGACTCTGGACTGAATGTGGTTGTTCTGGAAGCCCGGGACCGTGTGGGAGGCAGGACTTACACTCTTAGGGTAAGGCATTAAGAATTCGGTGGACAAATATGGGACTGAAGTTGAGTTTGGGGCTTCATTTTTGGTTTTTCCCCAAAAAATCTTCAATTTCATTTGACTCTGAGAGGGTGAAAATAACTCTGAAACATTCTTTACAGCCTCTCTCCCAGTTTGCCTTCCTTTCAATTCTTCTGTTCCTTTTTGTCTTTTTATCTCTTGATATTTGGCCTCATAGAGTTAGGATTAAGAGGGAAATGGGCAGATATGTGTGTTCCTCTCTCTCTCTCTCTCTCTCTCTCTCTCTGTGTGTGTGTGTGTGTGTGTGTGTATGTGTGTGAAATAGGAAGAAAAATAACATAATTATTTGTACTTTCCACTCCTAACTTCAAGGCTTCCTTTACACCAACACAATCTTTCCAATCATACAAACTAAACTTTTTTGGAGAGATTTTCTCCCATTTTTAAATTTACTTTTCAAATTTTATTTTATTTTTAATTGACAAGTCATACTTGTATTACATTTATGGAGTACAATGTGATGTTTTCACCATATGTATACAATGTGGAGTGATTAAATCAAGCTAATTAACATATTCAGCGTCTCACTTTCTTGACATTTTTTGTGGTGATACATTTGAAATTTACTGTTTGTTATTTTGAAATATACAATACATTATTATTACTACAGTTACTGTGCAATGGATTTCAAAACTTATTCTTCCTGTCTAGCTAAAATTTTGTATCTTGGACCAGCAGCTCCTCATTCCCTCAGTTCTCACCCCCCAGCCCCTGATAATCTTCATTTTGCTCTCTGCTTCTATGAATTCAACGTGTTTTAGATTCCACTTATAAGTCTTTCTGTGCCTGGCTTATTTTACTTAGCATAATGTCCTCCAAATTCATCCATGTTGTCCCAAATGACATTTCTTTCTTTTTAAAGGCTGAATAGTGTTCCATTGTGTGTATATACCATGTCTTCCTCATCCATTTATCCATTGACAACACTTAGGTTGATTTCATATCATGGCTACTGTAGATAATGCTACAATGAACATGGGTGTGCAGATATCTCTTCGGCATATTGATTTCAATTCTTTTGGATATATTCCCAAAAATAGGATTGCTGAATTATACGGTAGTTCTATTTTTAGTTTTCTGAGGAACCTCCATACTGTTTTCTGTAATAGCTGTACTGATTTACATTCCCACCAACAGTGTACAAAGGTTCCTTTTCTCTTCATCCTTGACAACACTGGATATTTTTCATCTTTTTGATAAAAGCCATTTTAACAGGTGTGAAGTGATATCTCATTTTGGTTTTAATTTGTATTTCCCTAATGATTAGTGGTACTGAACTTTATCCATGAACCTGTTGGCCATTTGCATGCCTTCTTTTAAGAAGTGTCTGTTCAGTTTCTTTGCCCATTTTTAAAAATTCTGGTTATTTGTCTCTTGCTATTGAGTTGTTTGAGTTTCTTATATAATTTGGATATCAACCTCTTATCAGATGTATGGCTTGCAAATATATTTTCGCACTCTGTGGGTTGTCAGTTTATTTTATTAATTGTTCTTTTGCTGTGCGGGAGCTTTGTGGTTTGATGCAATTCCATTTGTCTGTTTTTGCTTTTTTTCCTGATCCATATCCAAAAAATCATTTCCCTGACTAGTGTCATGGAGCTTTCCGCTTGTTTTCTTCAAGTAATTTTGCAGTTTCAGGTCTTATGTTTAAGTCTTTAATCTATTTAGAGTTGATTATTTGTGTATGGTGTTTGTATATGGTATAAGATAAGGGCCTATTTTTATTCTTCTGCATGTGGATAGCCAGTTTTTCCTGTACCATTTATTGAATAGACTGTCCTTTCTCCATTGTGTGTTCTTGGAATCTTCATCAAAACTCAATTGATTGTAAATGCGTGGGTTTATTTTTGAGCTTTCTATCCTGTTCTATTGGTTGGTGAGTCTGTCTTTATGCCAGTACCATACTGTTTTGATTAAAATTGCTTCATAAGATATTTTGAAGTTGGGTAATATAATGCCTTCACCTTTATTCTTTTGTTTAAGATTGTTTTGGCTATTTGTAGTCTTCTATAATTCCATATGAGTTTAAGGATTGTTTTTTCTGTTTCTGTGAAAAATAAAATTGGCATTTTGATGGGGATTGCACTGAATCTATGGATCGCTTTGGGTAGTATGGACATTTTACATTATTAATTCTCCCAATCCATGAACATGGATATGTTTTTATTTATTCACGTAAACTAAACTTTTACCTGCCTAATTTTCCTTCTTGTTTTTGCTTCAGTTAATTTTTATATTTTTTAAAGAATTATTTACCAATTTATAAATACTCTTATTTTAATTGCTAGTTAGTTGTTTCAATTCTGACACTGTTGCCTAAAATTAATGATTTTCTATTTAAACACAAAGTCAAGCAAAGCAAGTTTCTCTGCAAGGAAATGCCCTACTTCCATACATTCAAGATATGAATAATAGACATAGATGCTACAGAGTATTTTCATTTCCAGAGAGATAAGACATATACAATTCTGACTCACAGTTCTTCTTTTGGAAGGATTCATCAATGATATATATCTGGTGCTTCTGGGATACATGTGCAGGGGTGGGATCTGCTGAGCTAGATCACTTGGTCCCCTGGCTTCAGCCCCCTTTCCAGGGGAGTGAATGGTTCTGTCCCACTGGTGTTCCAGGCACCACTTGGATATGAAAAAACAAACAAACAAACAAACAAACAAACAAAAACTCCTGCAGCTGGCTCAGCGTCTGCCAAAATGGCCGTGGAGGCTTGTGTTTGAAACCCAGGGCCCTGGTGGCATAGGACCGAGGGAATCTCCTGGTCTGCAGGTTGTAAAGACCATGAGAAAAGCATAGTATCTGGGCCTTAGTGCACTGTTCCTCATGACACAGTCCCTCACAGCTTCCCTTGGCTAGGGGAGGAAGTTCCCCAACCCCTTGCACTTTCCAGGTGAGGCAACACCCCACCCTGCTTAGGCTCACCCTCCATGGGCTGCACCCACTGTCTAACCAGTCCCAACAAGGTGAGCCAGGTACCTCAGTTGGAAATGCAGAAATCACCTGCCTTCTGCATTGATCTCACTGGGAGCTGCAGACCGGAGCTGTTCCTTTTCGACCATCTTGCTAGCCCTCTGTACTCATTCTTTACTTTGAGTCATCTCCTTTGTAATTGAATTTGTCCTCAAAACAAATATCTACTGAGTACCTACTCTGAGTCAGGCACAGTAATCCCCCCAGAATGGCCTTGCTCCACAGACTTTACAGTCTCCCAGGGGGACACTGACTGTTATAATTGCCTAATTATAGCTTTTCAAGGAAAATGCTACAATGAGGGTGAGTGACAGCTTGGAGTGGTGCCATAGGAGGCATAAGAGGGCACCTTACCAGTCTTGAGAACCAGAGGCTCAGATAAGCCTGAAAGCCTTATCTGTTATTGACCATGACATATACCCCCTAACCTAGTTATTTGTGATTTCACACAGGCCTCCAAACTTGGTCTAGCCCTTCTTGTCTACAGGCCATTGTTTCTGCCATTATGTGTTCCTCAAATATCTCTTTTTGCCTTCGTTGTATGGCAAAATCTTCACATACTTCTGGGATATTATCCCTTCCCACTCCAATCGAAAGCTACTTGCCTTTCTTCTGTGTTAACACCACTTACCTGTTCCACACAAGGACAATTATTATATATTGCGGTACAGGTTTTTGCCTATGTACATCTTATCTCCCCCAGTTCTTGAAATCTTCATATTCCTTGAAAAATACAACATATAAGAGTGCCTTTTACATAAAGAAGCTGGTTTAGTACAATTAGGTGCTGAATTTTTAAAAACATCTTTCTCTCATTTATTTGAGAAAATTTATTGGACAACTGCTATAGGTGTTTGGAATACTTTAGTGAGTAAAACAAAGATGCCTTGTGAAAATTGCATTTTTGAGGGGTAAGTGAGTGGGAAGCTAGACAAAAAATAAGCAAATAAACAAAAACAGAAAAGAAGGACCATTTCTAGTGCTTCTAACTAGTAAGAACCTGGTTTTTCTTAGACATACTCAGAAATAGGAAACGTTTCTACTCATTTTATTGTTCAAAGGTCACCCCTCAGTTATTGGAAATGAAGCGAATTCAAAACTATGTAAATATACTATAAAACATAAAAGCAATTTCAAAGTCCAAATTATGATCAAATATTCCCTAGTGCTATTTTCAAATGTCTGGATTAACAAATCACATAAGAAGTGATCGTTTTCTTTCTTGCTTTTTCTCTAGCGTTGGTCCCCTCAACGTTTACCTGAAGTACTGAGTAAAGAGATTCATCAACAATTCACAGCTCACAAATTCAAAGCACTAAAAACCAAACCACGTTATAGTATATTGAAAATGATGAGGTTTAGAAGCTCTTGCCTATTCAGCATTCAATCAATTTTGCTTTAAATTAAAGATTGATTTAATAACTAAGTCATGTGAATGAAGTAGAGTTAAGAACAAAATCTAGTTTTTCATAGATATACCTTAAGTTGTATCTATAACTTGTGAAATGTCGATTTGCTTATTTCAGGACTGTCTTTTGCTATTTTATACATGTTTTACAAATTTTTTTTTATTTTTTCCTATGGGGAAAACAGAACCAAAAGGTTAAATATGTGGACCTTGGAGGATCCTATGTTGGACCAACCCAGAATCGTATCTTGAGATTAGCCAAGGAATTAGGATTGGAGACCTACAAAGTGAATGAGGTTGAGCGTCTGATCCACCATGTAAAGGTAAGATCAGGCCAGACTTTGAAGGATTTGAAAACTTCTCTATGATGTTTCCTTGTATAAATTCCAGATCATTCTTTCAGAGAATCTTCTATATCTCTGGACAATGCAAATGTATTTTATAATGGCATTTCAGCCACTCTGAGATTCATTTGCTATTACAAAGGGGAATTAGGTGGAAATTCTAAACCTATTTAGAAAGGTTATTGATGAAGTGGTATCGTCCTTGTGGTAAAATGTTTAACAAAACCCATAGAGAACAAACATTTGTGCTTTATTTATTAAATATCCATTTAAATACCTGGAACTCTTTTATATTATACAAAAACCTGTGCAAAGTTTTTAAAATGCTGCCCTATACTGCACATGGTAAAGAGTATTTGCAATATGCCTAATGAAATATTCTTACGTTTTATCATTGTGGCCTATATATCAGCTAAAGTTATTCTTCTTTGGAGATTGACATCAAAGTGGTTCAAGTCCCAGATCCTGTCTTTTGCAAGGAAGCTTCATTGTTCTCCCCGAGATTTCTGTGAATTTACTGGGTTTCTCATTCCTATGATCATTCGTGGCTCATGGTTCTGGCTTCCATGATACCTATGTTCATTCACATCTCATGGCCTGTGACTCTTTTCTTCTCTTTGCTTATGCCAACCTGGGTTCACACTCACCTCTTTGTCCTGATTTTTCTCAGACCACCATAAGCTGTGTGAAAAGCAAACTTGACTGAAGTTTTGAGCAATGGAGTTGGGGTGGGGAGGCTCTTAAATTTGTAGAAATACAAACAGATTAGAACTGAATGTTGGACATTCATTCTAATAACCTCTTAGATCAAAGCATCCCCTGAGGATTTCTCACTGGTCACATTTCTCTGCAGATTCCAGTCTCCTACCATGCTGCTGGTCCTCAGACTCTCTTCACATCTCCCTGCTCCTCTGTTTTTCCAGCATCCTCATCTTGGTCCACAAAGTCACTCATGTTCTCTTGACAATCAAACAATCACCTAATCTGGGCCCCATCCAGGAGTCCCATGGAAGAACTGGCAGAGGTTTTCAATTTCAGTCTTTCCTCTCTCATCTTCACTTGCTCCTGTAGGTGGAAGTAAGCAGCGTAGAAACTTATTCCTCACTGGTAGAAAACACCCCCTTATAAGACAGAAGAAACTAGCAACAGTCAATTTTGATTTATATAACAATTTTGGCATCTTTATATTATTTGTGAGTGATAATATCGAGACAAATAACTGACCATAAATCATGAAACATTTAATAAAATGGGAACTAAGCAGCTACTTAATTTGGTATAATGTGGGTAAAAGTTTTCCTTAATTTATAAATAAATGTTTGGGTTGACCTTCAAATTTTATTTTATATTGGCCGGGCGCAGTGGCTCACGCCTGTAATCCCTGCACTTTGGGAGGCCGAGGCGGGCGGATCGCCTGAGGTCAGGAGTTCCAGACCAGCCTGGCCATCATGGCAAAACCCCGTCTCTACTAAAAATACCAAATTTTATATTATAAGCCTTTCCACCTTCCTTCCCTATGTGTCTAGGAGAAAAAGAGACACATGAATTAGAAATGAAAATCTACCATGGTGATAATGTGATTTGTTGACTATCAATCAACGGTTCTTAACACCCTTTGTTGAGTTCTTTGTTTTTTTAAATATAGGTTTTCTTGACCAATTTCTTATGTCTTATTCTACCTGTAAGGCTTGCGGAGATTGACTTCTCAGAACACTAGGATCTTTAAATTTCTCCAGTCAAAGGAGATGACCAGAGATTATATTCACTTGCCTGTCTTTGTGTGTACAGAGATTATTGTCAGCTCAGAGCTATGTCCAAGATGCTTTGTTTTGTCCTGACATTAAGTCCCTTGTCTGAAAGAAATTGCTGAGTCATCAATTCCAGGAATGATGTTACACTTAAATGATATTTCACAGTGATGGCCAAATGTGTTGCTTTTTCACGATTTCCATTACTCTATGTGCAGGTTGGAAAATACAAGTAATTAAGCCATAGTCCGTCCTTAATACGGGGTAAATGCATATGCCAATAATGCTCTTTATACTTAAAATATGTCTTACTGCTTTTTAATTATGACAGAAGTAAAGCATGTTTATTGTAAAAATATGGTTAGAAAATATAGATAAACAAGAACAATTAACAAACCCCTTTATAATATTATCTTGAGAAGATCATTCTAAAATACTCTCTTGGTTCGTAGATTTTCATATTCCTGTATTGCTATTTTCTGACCTCTGCTGGAGGAAATGGGAAATATCAATGCATTTTAAGAAATCGTATGCACATGCATATGTGTGTATGTTTTATGTAGTAACTTACTCTCAAATTAATTATCACTAATGAGACAAATTGAAAAAATAATGATGCTGTGAAACAAAGGTTTTTGCAGTCTTGACAAAGGTGCCAATTTGGCCTCCTCGTGATCAGTCATATGCAGTGAAGAGCTACATGATAATACATAATGACGAAGACCTTATAGCTAAGAAGTCCTCCTCAAACTAAGTACTTGTTCTCTACCATCTCCACTTCCATGTCTTTGTCTACGTCATTTTTCTCATTTTTGAGCTGTAAAAAGCATCTCGGATGGCTACATTCATTTCTGGAATTATTAACAAGAACCTTGACATTCTTTCTCCTACTATGTACTAGAGAATGCAGTTGAGAAATTTGTCTCCTGTATCATGGAAAGCAGTGCTTTGGGAATTTGAACATTGTCCTCTGTTACCTATTTTAATAACTACTGTCCCCGAGTGCAAACTATAGTTCATGTAAATAGATAGTGTATTTCGTCTTTGTTTTTTTTCTTTTTTTCAGCGAATCTGCATGTATTTCTTAATCTGAATCCTGAGAGTATCAAGTATGCTACTTGCCATATTGTCAGATCCTATCAAAGGGATCTGCTTTTAAAATTTTTTATGTGGCTGATAATGGGAAATAGAGTTTTATGTGCAACTTTAGCAACATTAAGCTAAGGAACTTGGATATAGTGGTTGATATTGAAATGAATGAAGTGGAGCTACCCAGAAAAGGGGAAGGGTACAGCAGCTCATGGTGGGCTAACTACCCAAATGAAAGAGTGTCTTTCCTCAAGAGAGGATGACTCCCAGTATCACCAGTTCTGTCGCAGTTGTCATAGAAATGTTCTTCTGATAGAGGAAATGTGTTCATGCCGCCTCCATAATAGGCATCTTTAAACCCCTAGTGTGCTGTGATGAACAGGCTTCTGTGTCAATCTGATCTGTCAGACGTGTTTGTATCTACTGAGTGGCATTCATTTTTAATGCTCTGTAGATCTGTTATATGTTGTTAAAGTAGGGTTTTCCAAAGACAACTTCATGAATAAAAGATGTGATACCAAACTATACTGGAATTTAATTATCAGTGAGAAAGGGATCGCTTCAGCTCAAATCTATATAATTTAGAAGGTGTTTTCCTTACTTCTAAAGTCAGTGATGCAGCTGTTAGTACTTTACAATTATTGTTAAACATCTACTGAGATTTTTGATCCATTTTACAAATAGGCATGCTAATTTCCACTGGTATCGTTTGGAAGGCAGCTGTTTAGATGTCTTGGAAGTAACTTGAAAAAATTGTTTTCTTTTAAGGAATATTTCATAATTAAAAAGAAAAAGATAAAAACAACAACTTCTTAAGGAATCCTGCTATATTTTGACTTATGTTTCTTTCTCTTTCATTGTGTGTTTACATGTGCACGCATGTGTGGTTGTTTTTGTTCTTTTGGGTTCTTTGAAGAAGTTGGAGAAAATTCTAAGGTTTGGTACAATGTAGACAAATAAAATTTCTCTGTCTCAGAAGCTTTCATCCATCTGAAATTTGAAACTAAAGTCTGGTAAAAGCACCCATGCAACTGCTCTGGGACTGAAGGTTGAACTGTTAAGAGTTTTGCCAATTTATAAAGATGTAGTGTGACTTAAAATTAAGAGCCCAACTTCATACTGATATTCATTTCCAAACTTCAGCTATCTGGAGAAGCTGAGCAAAAGGACATTTTGGTCTTAACCTACTTCCTAGTAGGCAGAAAAAAAGCTTATTGCCAAAGTCCTTTTTGTGTTGCATATGGTCAGCCTTCAATGCTAAAGACATGTGAATGAGGATTCATCTCTCAAATATGTTGTCTACTTGTTGCTGCCATAGCTGCTGTTGCTCAAACAGCCTCACAGAGGAGGACGCATTTGGCACAACCCCTCAGTCTTGCTGACAACTCCGAAATCCAGTTGAAAATATGATACACAAAAAGCACACAAAGGCAGAGAGGTGAAACTGTAGCTATCTATCTGCAATGCCATTTCAGTTCATCTCTGTCTGAATAGCCTCTCAGTACTAAGGAACAGCAACAGGATTAAAGTAGAAATATTGAGACATAAAATATGCAAATGATAATTGCATTTAGCAAATGGAAATCGTCCTGTAGTGTAAGGTCTTGGCATCTCCTGGAGATCAACAGGCCAGAAGTACCCAGTCTTCTCTAGGTCCTCAATATTCCCTTCTTCACACCCCCATCCCTGATCCTATTAATCCAGGGGAGCCTGGATCAAAGTCCAGAATACACTTGCTTCTCTCATGAAGATAGAAGTTTCCAAGAACAGGTTAGACCAACTCCTGTTTTTATTCAGGAACAGTTGCCCATTTTACATGAACTTCACACTTACCACGTTGAGCTTACTGGCTCTGTGAGTTTGCCCTTTCTGAAGTGGGCTCAATGAACCTTTTCTGTCACTTCCACCCACACTGCATTTCATTTCTTATTTGTTTGAAACAAATATGTCTTATTATGGAAAACTTTTTTCAAGGAAAAAATGTGGAGAATAGTAATTTTCTCTCTAGTAAGTGAAACACATTTGTCTAGTGATCATTCTAAAGCTTATGCTGTTATTCTGGAAACCAAAGTGCTCATTTGTATTCTTTAGAGAATACAGGCAGATCTTTGGCATGTAATAATTTGCTGAAAATTATGCCTT